AGTCTGCATAAGAAGGCTTCGTATGCATAGAAAAATTAATTACATAAACATAATTTTCTAAGAGAAATGTTATGGAGAAGTACACAATGAATGAAGCATACAAAAGGATTATTCAGTTACAAAATTAGTAGTCCAACACATTGGAATACCAGACTTCTACAAAACTGGAGAGAGCATTTACTGGGCAAAATTGTAGTATAACAAGGGAGCCATTATCACAGAATATTCTGAGTTGGAACGGACCCACAAGGATCACCGAGTCCAGCTCGTAAGTGCATGGCCCATACAGGCACTGAACCTGCAGCCTTGGTGTTATTAGCACATGCTCTGACCAACTAATGGACTACAAAGAAGCTGCAGCATAACAAGAACATTTTCAAATACAAATGTTATTCCTACAAATACAATGCAGTGTAGTCCGTAAGAGTATTAGGCCAACTCTGCAGGACAAAGTAATATAAAACTTGTGAACAGAATACTATCAACATTTACCAGTGCAACAGTGCCCACCCAAAGTAAATTCACAGAAATTATTACAACAAATCACTTGAGTTATGATCCAGAAGCCTCACCAGGGTAAGAGTATGGAGTTACAGCAGACTAAGAAATTACCAATCAAGTTTCTTTTCAGTGGTAGGGAATCAAAGTTATCAGAAACCCTCAAGCATTTTCCTCTAGTTACCTTCAACTAAAATCACACAGCTATCGTAGGAACTGAGAACAGTAAAATATGATTTTGCTCTCAGCTAAACATCTGTATCTTGTACAGAGCCAATTCCACTCAGATCACTATAAGCACTAATACAAATCCAGGTTGTAGTTCCTGAAATTAATTATAAGCTAAGAGCCACTTACATTCTATTACCATTTTTGGTTTTTTTTAACAGTTTTAATTTTCAAGATGTGCACAGACACAGCTCACTCTACTTACATGTTAATATTAATTGTCAAGTTGTTTACAGTGAATGGCAGTCGATATTCCACATCTTTCTGTATTTCTGCAATGCTGTCAAAGAAAAATTGATAGCATCCATTTCATGGTCAATATAAAGGCTAAAAGTCTAAAAGAAACAAGCATGACCTCAGACATTTGTACTCAGTTTAGTTTTGAAAAGCCCTGTAAGAACAAAATTGAAAACGCTAGATTAAGTTAATAGTCTTCAGTATGCTACATTGAATATTAAGATTAAAGCAAAAAAATAGTAGATTAAACATGGTCACATAGTAGATCATACATGGTCACAAGCAAAGGAACTATACTAGAAGAAATCACATTATTCACACTTCTGACAACAATCTCAACTTATCTTTCTCCCCTTACTGGCTTATTTTAAGACAACACTTCAGTGTTTCTTTAATATACTGAATTTTATCTGGTTAAACATTTACTTTGCCAAGGCATTATATCAAGTTCACAACTAAGTATTGCTCTGCAACACTGCCTTTAGATCAATATGTAGAACATTTATTAGATTAGAGAGCTACTTTCATCAATGTAAAGCTCCAGTGACATTCAAGACCTAGGCCCTCCTAAAAGCACCAATGAGCCTTACAAAATCTACTAAGGTCAAATCCAAATTTGTTTTTCCTGCAACAGGTAAATTACAGAGGGAAAAAAAATCTTGAAAATAGTTACATTAATAGGAAGTTGATTGCAATACTCAAAGCATTATACAATTTCTATGTACACCGAGACTGTTTTGAAAGTGAGCACCCCAGAGCATGTGGAGGAGGTGGAGATGAAGTCTTAACTCAGAAGCAGAATTTCTAGACAATACAATAGACAATATCTAAGCTGAGAGTAAAAGACAGAAAAGCAGAAAATTAGCTTGATCTTATAAAGAATCAAAACAAACTGTATAAGCAGACTGATTGCTTTACCATGTATTTTTCCTGCTTGCACCTGGTTAATAATACTCTGTAGCCTAAGGATCCCTTATACAGGGGAAGGAACACAGCTCCAATGGCAAATAATGGCAGATGGGTGTTCCAAACTTTTGAGCCAGCTTCAGAAATGCTCCTCCATCCACTGCCAGGTACACTTCATATAAATCCTTTCTCAAGAAACCCAAAACACATTACCTGCAAATGTGTGTTAAGAGTAGCACTGGGAGTATTTTCTGTCCTTCCAAAGCACTACTGGGGCATAGAATTTAAGACTTCAAAACTAAGTCTTCAAGAGCTTGGGGAACAAATGGGAGTAAGACATTAACTCAGCTATGAATCTTGCTTTCTGCAGCCTGATCTTATTCCTCTCATAGACAACTCAGTATTTGCTCTTTCCCTGTGAGATCACATGGATCACAAAATGCTGTTTGAAGAAAATATCAAGTATCTTCAGCACAGGATAATTCAAATCATGGGTTCTGCTGTGTTACACCACACAGTGCACCTTCTCATTTTTAACTGAAGGATTCTCCCTGGAATCTCGCACGCACATTCCTGCCCTGTAATCATCTGTCACACTTCTCATTAGCCTGTTGCAAAATCCTTTTGAGAAGGGTATATAATTACACTCCAGTCATGTGGAAACTGGGGAGAAAGATGAGGACAGGGAGTGAGGAACAAGAAAGCCAGAATCTCATTGAACTCTTCAAATGGTTATAACCCTGCTTAGGAAAAACCTTGAACTAATAACCTTACTTGTTGCTTCCCCAGGTGGGTATGAGTACACCAGATACATTCTTATCTTTGTCGAGAACAACAGCAAATATAAGAAAACTCTTTTTAAAATGCAAACTCCTAACTTGTGAGGGATTGTGTATAGGAAAGCTAGCTGCTTTACTGAAATCAATATCACATATACCTGAGCTTTTACGACCTAAGACAACACAAATCAAACTTGACTTAGTTAACTACACCATACCAAGAATTTTGAGCATTTTGGTGAAGAGCAACAACAATACTCAAAGGAATGACATTTGGGCAGCTACCATGTCCCTACCCTTCACCTCAATTCCTGGCTACAGCATCCATTACCCCTCTGCCTATGCTTGAGCTGCTGCCTGCGCAAACAGTAGCAAGCCATTTCAGCAAACCGACTGACAAAAAATTATCTCCTTTTTGGGAACTTAATTCAGCATGAGCTCATCTTGCTGACAGATTTTTAAAAAGTGGGTATAAACAAAAGGCCAAGTAAGGGCAGACCAACAAAAAATTTAAGTTAACTAAGCTCCTATATGCCCAGAGGAACAGCTCCTTAGAAAAGTGAACTGTCTCCAAAATATCTGTGAAATTGGCTCTGAACAGACTTAAGTTTATTCAAGCAACAATACTTAGAATACTATCATATTTATGTTTCCTGTGTGATAATTCAAAATATTAGGGATGCAAACTATCTGCAGTTAATAAACTTGGAAATGCATTTAGGATCTCTTCCACTCCTAGTGTCAGTCTGATGTGACAGGGAACATTCTCCGTCCTTTTTCTGAATTATTTTGGAGGCAGCTACTATTTCAGTTCTACAGAAATCCTGGGAAGTTGTTTGTCAGTAGAATGCTTAGTTTACTGTAACTATAACTTCAAATGTATGAAATTTTAAAACGTGGGGGGTTTTAAAAGACTAGGCAAAACAAGGCAGCACACTGCCAAGAGAGAGTACCTCAGGATACACTGTTCTGCTTTAAAAAGTGTTTGTTGAATAGGAGTAAACACAACTAGCCTCTTCGGACCATCTGAAAAAAAACTAGTTTTTAAGGAGCAGCCAGTTTTTAGCAGGTAGCACTGAACACTAGGAAAAATAGTTTGTAAAGCCAGTACAGCTGCTATGCCACTGTGCCACTGCTGGCAGGCCGCTGTGCCACACAACTCCTTGGTGCTCGACACTTTAGTCTCAACTTTTAGTCAACTACATTACTACAAGCAGCTTCCAGAGAGGTTCTATCCCAAAACGTAGTCGCGTCTTTTTGAAGACATCACAACCCATTAGCAGCCTTTCTGGTCAATGGCAGGTGAAACCGGGCAGGGCGACCTGCGCGCCCGATCACCCGGCCAGGCCACATCTAAGCCAGCGGGGACGCCTCCCCGACAGCCAACTGCACTTTCAGTTCCCAAATTCTTCCTGCCAGCCGCCGGGGTCCCACAACCCACTGTCCTCCAGCGGGGAACCCGCGGCACGGCAGGAGCCCGGCGGGACCCTTCGGCCCGGGACAGCGCGGGGCTGGGCCGGCCCGGGCTGCGGCGCCGCCGGCTCGGGGGCCCTGTTTACCCGCACGGCCGCCAGGACCCAGCCAGGCCTCACGGGGAGGGGACGGGGCGCAGCCGGGTCCCCGTGTCCGCGCACAGCGAGACACGACAGCTACCGACTCGGCGCGGCCCCACTGCGGCCCCGGGACGGGCGACACGGCGCGGCCCTCCCGCCCCCGCGCCCGCCGCGGGCACTCACGAGGCGTGCGCGGCGCGCAGGGACTCGACCTGGCGCTGCCGCTGCTGCTGGAGGCCGGTGCGCGCGGGCGGCGCGGCGGGGGCGGCGCCGCCCTTGGCGAGCGGGAACAGCCAGTTCATCGCGCGCGCGGCGGCACCGGAGGGGCGCGAGGGCACCCGCGGCACCGCGCGCACCCAACCGAGCGCCCGCGCGCGCCTGCGCGCGACGGCGGCCCCGCCGCCGCCCCTGCCCCGCCCCGGAGCCGCCGCCGGCGGGGCCGCGTCAGCGCCGCGCGCCGCGACCCGAGCGGCGGAGGGGCGGGGCGGGAGGGAGGGGGGAGCGGCGACGCGGCCGGCGATTGGCCAGAGCGGCGGGGGGAAAGGCCGCGGCGCGCGGCGATGATGTAATGGCTTTGTGCGCGCGGCGGCGGCGCGGGGCAGCAGCGCTTCCTGCGGCTGGCGGGGCCGCGCGGGGCCTGCCCGACCCGCCGCGGCCCGGCCGGAGCGGCAGCGGTGAGCGGGCGGCGCCGCGGGCACCGCGCGGGGCACCGGCACCCCGCCCTCCCGCACCCCCGGGCTCTGCGGCTGCTCCGGCCGCTCCCGGGGCCCTCACGCGCGCGGGAACCCGGCCGGCCGTGTGTCGGCTTCCGAGCGCCGCTCGCTGGTTTAGCGCGGCCCTAGGGAGCTGGAGGAGCCGCTCCCGCCTCGGGAGGCCGCCCGCGGTATCCCCGGGTTTGGCGTGACTCTGTTGCCGCTTCGTTCCCTGCTGCACGCAGCCTAGGGCTCCGCGGGAACGCGCCCTGCCGAGCCGGGGGCAGGAGCGCCTGGGGACCCGGGTGTCTCCGGTATCTGTGTCACTAGCGCGTCTTGCCGCCTTGTGCAGGAAACAGTCGCTAACGAAACTGCAGGGCCTTGGTTTCTGATGGTAATCTGAGCTCGCGTAGCCGAAATTCTTGTGTTGGTGGCTATGTTGTCCTGCTTTTGTGAATTCTACAAGGATAAAGCGTGGCTGTGGTCCTTAAGCTTTTTCTAAGTTTATTTTTCAGATAAACTAAGAGTAAAAACTTAAGCTTTCATGCTTTGCTTTCTTTCTTAGGCTAAAAAAATAAACAGTTGAAGTCTTCTTTATGAAACCAATCTTCGGTCAAGTGTAACTTTTGATGTATGGTCTCTAAAGCCCCCCACTATGCCAGCAGCTACCGTAGATCATAGCCAAAGAATCTGTGAAGTTTGGGCTTGTAACTTGGATGAAGAGATGAAGAAAATTCGTCAAGTTATACGGAAGTATAACTATGTAGCTATGGTAAGTGGGTGCTTGATGTCTGTCTAGCAAATTACTGCAAAAATCATGACTTCAGCTGAGGTCAGTAAACTTCGCTCATCCTTGTACACTGAAACCATAAGAAGTCTTAACGTTGAATTAATGCTGTATGAACATCTGGATCTTTTATCTTTTTAGAAGTTGATTTTACACACAGTGCTCTTCAGCTATGATATGGTTATCGTGTTCAGGTTTCAATTCTGCTCTTGCAGGACACAGAATTTCCAGGAGTAGTTGCAAGGCCTATTGGAGAATTCAGAAGCAACGCAGACTATCAGTACCAACTCTTACGCTGCAATGTTGACTTGCTGAAAATAATTCAACTAGGACTGACGTTTATGAATGAGCAAGGAGAATACCCGCCAGGAACTTCAACTTGGCAATTTAATTTTAAATTTAACTTAACGTAAGTATTCAGTTCCTGTGCTGCTAAATGTATGTTTCTGCCTTACTGAAAATGTATAAGTGCTGTAGCAACTTTTTTATCCATCTCATTGAAGTACTGGAATACCATAAATATTTCATGTAAGGAAAACATGTCAGCCAGACATGCTTTCTTCCCTCATTTCTGTGCAGTCTGTCTTACTGTTGATAATTTGGTCAAAAATGCTAAGCAGTTAAAAAAAAAATTATGGAAGGCATTTTATACTTGGTGCAAGAGTTAGCTCTGTATTTTTATGTTTAGCATTTTAGAGTGCTTCTGCCTTAATTTAGTTTAACTCATACTGGTTGTTATAGAAATCACATATTGTTTCTTTACATACTTTAAATGGAAAATACCAACACTTGAAGGAAAAAAAAGTGAAGTTACTGAAGTGACTAAAAGAGTATGCCAAATGTTATCATTGTTGTGAATTATTCTGTCTATAAAGTCTTGGTTAAAAAGCAAGCTGACTTTTCCTGTATTGGAATAGTACCATGGACTATTTCAAAATGTGATTTTTATCATTAATAAAACTTTTTAAGCATTACCCTCACTTTTACAGGGGGATCAAAAGCTTATCTGGTACTCCAATTATATCTTTAGCTGGTGTCAACCAAGTTACTAGTATCTTGATTTTGTTTTTTCTGGTGTAAACATAATTAGTCTGATAGATTTTGATGTGTTGATTATCTACTGAATTGAATACCAGTACAAGCACTTCTCACACATTTAAGCCTTGGGGTTTTTGGCAGTTGTATTACAAGTTGAGAACTGGACAACTTTATATACATGAGTTAAGTTCATAGCCTACAAAGGAGGTTTAGAGAACAGACCTTTATTTTTTCTGCAGATGAAAAGACTTGTTTTCAAAGTAGTTGGGGTTCTTAAGAGGAAAACTGCTGCTGCCTCTCTTGATCTCTCTGCTCTTTTAAACAAGCAGTGGTGTGGATTGTCACATATCAGTTTGATCTGAGCAATCTATTAAGTCTTGTGTGAATTGTCTCCTGAAGGAAAAGTTACCGCAGATTTAATGTTTTGGTATCTCTGAACTTACCTGGCCATGTGAATGCTGGATAAAAGTTACCCAAATATACTAATCCTACTAATTGTGGGGAAAAAACAAATTGATAGCTTCCAAACTGTGATCTGTGAAGAAGGGCCTGTGCTACAGTTAATTTATTTTCTGAGCTTCAAAGGTCTACTTAATATCAAACAACTGAAACCAAAAGTAGCTTTCCATCTATTTGTGTCAGATGCTGCAGAGATAAGACAGCTTAGTAAGGCAAGATACAGGTAATCACCAAATTACCTTGTTACTAGTTGATGGTGGGGGTTAAAATGGACAACTTACTTATTTTTGTCTATTTCTAAACATCCTTTTGGGAAGTGGCACTGTGCCAAGTGTTCTTCTCCTAAAGCAAAACAGCTGTTTGTTGTTCCTAGAAGGTAATTTTGTGTGTGTGGTTCCAGCCAGGTCTTGTTTTAGTGTGCTTTTAAAGAGCATAAATATTTCTCTAATCATACTATGCACACTATTAGTACAGAGCAGCACCTAGAACGAAACCTCCTTTTTGTTAAATGGTGAGTTTGTTTTGGATAGGTTCTTTAATATGCTATGTAGATAAACAGGTGTTGAGAAGCTGATGCCTCAGAGCTGGGGAACTAAAGAGCAGCTGTGCAGGAGTGAGGAAAAAAGATGTAACACATCTTGAGGATGTATGTCTATGTTTTAAAGAATGATTACTTGCTATTAGGAATAAGAAATACAGGTCTCTGACTGAATCTAATAGTTAAGTTTGATATTTTGGTTGTTTTGTCTAGCTTTCTTTTGTTTTTTATTAAAATTTAAAACTGTACATTGAAGAGACTTTGTGAAGTAGTATGCTGTGGACAGTAAAATGAATTTAATTTTCTAAGTAGATTCATGTTTACTTTTTTTTCTTCATTTAACCATTCCATGTTTTTGTAATGATGACACAGATAACACTTAGGGGAGAAAATAAGCTCCAAAACATGAATTTCAGCATGAAATTCTTAAGACATTGCCAAAAAAAGAAGTTAGTGTTAAAGGGAATAAACACAGAGGTAGGAGGGGGTCAAAAAAAAGTAGAAGAATTTTTATTTCATCCTCCTAAATTTTGGGTCTAAAATAGGCTTTTAGAGTTGAAACATATCATTTAGAAAGAAAAAGTTAGGATTCCTGAATTCTAAGGTTTGGCTAGATTAATAAGTACTCAATTTCCAATTCTAGTGAAAAAAAAATGTTTTTATGAACACATTTATAAACATTTACATAGGCTTAAATCACAAAAAAACTTCTGAGAAATATTACCTACAGACCTAATGAAGTACTGGGATCTGGATTGTATTTCTCATATTTCTGCAATGTAATGTGTTAGTGCTTCAACTGTTACATTTAATTTGTCACAATTTAAGTGATTTATACAGATATTTTACCAAATAAGTTCTATAGATGCACTTTCATCTATAGGCTTGCAAAAGGGTGGTTATAGGTAGCTGAAAGAGGAGGCGGAACTAATTTTTTAATGAAGATGGTAAGAATGGAGGTGCTGGGAGTGGTGAAATGATAATGAGGGTTAAAAAAAACCTTGAAAATGGTTAGTTTTGTAATTTACCTGGAACAAAGTCAGATTATTCCTGCTCTGTGCTAAGTCTGTGGAATTAATAGCAAAAAAGTAATGTTGACTCATTGAGACTTGTAGGTTTTGGAAATTTACTTTTCCTCTCTGTTTTTAGAGAAGATATGTATGCTCAGGACTCTATTGAACTGTTGACGACATCTGGTATCCAGTTTAAAAAGCATGAAGAAGAAGGAATTGAGACACAGTACTTTGCAGAACTGCTCATGACATCAGGAGTTGTATTGTGTGAAGGAGTCAAGTGGCTTTCCTTTCATAGGTAAATTTTGCATGTGAAGTATTTGAGGTTTCAACATCTGGTGGGTGTTTGAATTCTAGAACTATTATATTGCACATCTGCTGAGTTTAAATGCTGTGTATGTAGCCCATATCTTGGTTGCTAAGACTAAGGAAATATTTCTGCTTTAATACCTCTAACACCATTTTGTATTGGAAGAATAGAGGGCACGGGGATTTTACTGGTGTTCTTAGCTTTAGTGTTTATGCAGGAACCAGAAAAGTGTGAAGCTGAAAAACCACAAAACTGCTAAACCAGCAGGTGGTGCTGTACACGTGCGAGTAATAACAGAAACATTACTAAAAGCAAACTATTCCTAAGCACTCCTTGAGGAAATATTGTCTGTTTCATAGGAGAGAATTATCAGTGAAGAGGTCTATAAAATACTGTTAAATTTGTTGTAAATCTTCTGCTAATCTGGGCACATGAAATTATTCAGCTTGGAAGGAGTTCCTTCTTAAGCCTCGTGCATATATTTTACTCCTTATTCCATCAGAGGGGTCAATCTCTCAAGTAGAAATGTTGCTGCTAAATCTCTGTGAGTCTGTCATGATACGAAAGATTTTTGAGTGTTAATAAATTTAACACTTTAAAAACATACACAGGAGTTTTTTAGCTAACTACATGCCAGAATTTTTGCAAGCAACAGTGTCTTTAAAGGCTTATGCTATGTAATGCCCTTGAGTTGGTGTCTTAAGTGCTGGCTTCTAAGGAAGTCAGCAAGATAAAGCAAATGAACAAGACTGTAGGCAAACTAGTCTCAGCTAAAACATCTGAATCTCTTATGTTGTATTGGTGGGTGGTATGTAAATGATGAAATCAGAATAAAAAATTATTTGTCCATAGGTATTAATACGTGGAAAAAAAAAGTCACATAGAATTAGACAAGTATTTATGCAATAAACAAACGCAAAAATAAGAATTGTTTTGGCAAGGAAAGTGTAACAGTAGTAGAAGGGTGCATATAACATATTTGCAGAAGCCATGGTTTTGATTTGTTTTGTACAAAGAAGTGCTAGGCTGAGTTTCAAAGCAGCAAGGTTTAAAAGACAAGACAGTTAAACAAAGAAGGATCCTCTGAGCACAGTTGTCACTTCCATCTTCCACTTAACAGCTGTTTCAACTCACAATAAGACTCTAAAATAATGTTACTCCTGCTATCTTCTAGAATAGCATCTTGAGGAAGAATACTGTAACAAGATTGCTTTAAATTGTTTCAAAATAACTACAAAAGCCAAATTAAAATGAAATATTTTTCAGCTTCCTAAGCACAGTATTATGGGCTCTAATGTGTATGTTTGTGATTTACACTTGACTACAGTAATATGGCTTGGATGGTTCAAGAGAAGGGAAGGCAGGTTATGCATGTAACTGGTGCCTCAGCAGAGGAATGTTATGTAGAAACAGTTTCAGCCTCAAACTGGTCTTTTTCCAATATTGCCTGGTGACTAGGACCCACTAAGGTATACCTGAGCAATTTCTACTCTAAAGATTCTTTCTGGAGCATAATTATATTTAGTGTATGTAAATGTATATTTAGTGTATGTATGCAATAATAATGTAATTTAGTGTATGTAATTTAGTGTATGTAAAAAAACTAATGGGCTGGTCAAAGTGTAGTGCAAGCCACGTGCAATAATGCCATTTTTTACTGGTCCAGCTTTTGAAGGGTTTTTGAAATTGCTTTATTAATAGAAGTCCAGTTTCATCTGTGCTGAAATGAATTTCTGTTGTGGATTTCACTGAGAGTCTTTAGAAATTATCTTAAGACAGTTGTTCAGCAAATGTTTGTCAGACACTAATTAGTGTTTAAAGTTTTTGTGCTTTTTCAGACCTTGCTGATAGTATCTTGAGCACAAAACCCTGGAATAAGTGGATTAAGTTCTGAGGAAACCAAAATTATGCAAAGCTATAAATGAGCATGGGTCATATAAAATGTGCCACAAAGAATAGTGAACAGCTGTTTCTGAATACATCTTTGATTGTGATTATGTTCTGTCAGTGGAAACTTACACAGCGGGACGCTCAGTTGAAAATTTGTTCCATTAGACTCTCCATGCAGTAGTTCTTTGACAGCTGATAAAGCTGTGCTTGGTAGTTGCTGACTCTGCTATTGCTTCTGTTTCCTTAAAATGCTTGTAGTACTATTAACTCTTAAAATTTGAGTCCCCATAGTAGCTGGGAGAAGGGAATTATTCCTTTCTCAGGGTATGAAGATATGGTTTGGTTTTAATTCACTAGTCTTTGATTTCCTTGAACTTTTATCCAGTTCATTTGTGTGCTTTTTATCTCCACATTTGATGTAGCTGCCTTGGTATCCTGACATGTTGGCAAATCTCTGGATATGCAGTTCTGTCAGATATGAGGGAAGAAATATTTGCACTGTGTACTGCAACTTCATAGACAGATTCCTTCAAATCTTGTGTGTGTGCATGTTAAAATGTATTTGAGTTAGTGAGAGAGAAGGGGGAAGACCTGAATTTGTGATTTTTTTTTTTTTAATTATTACAGTCAAAAGAGCTGTGAGTGCTTGACAGTCTAGCCAGTTAGGAAGGAACAGCTCAAATGCTGATTTTGTGCATGTTCAACTGTCTGCTCTGCTGAAGCTTTGAGTGACCACTTGTGTGCAACTCCCTTTGTCTGCCTTTGGAGGGTCTGTGAAAACATGTTTTTTGGAAAACAAAAAACAGATGCTCTTGGGATACTGCAAGTTCCAAGCTACTGTATTTCAATAATCATTTATATCTAACTCATTTTAGTAAAATTTAATCTGTTGGCTCTTTTCTGTTAGGGTTATAAAATGAATTGAAGCTTTCTCAGCTCTTGCATGTTTTATTTCATAGGCTTGGTGCTTGAGTAGAATTTTGTTGATTGGCTATCTGAATTCTATCTCAATAGTAAGAGAGAGAAATAGGGTCATGTTTGATCTCTACTCTTGTCTTTTTTGCCTAGAGCTGTCCATGTTCAGTGAAAAAACAAAACAAATATCTGTGAATGCTTGTGTTGTATAGCTCCACAGATTGTGGCTTGCTTTGCTAAGCGATTTCAGGTGATTATATTAGAAATGGTGCAAGTTTTTTAAGGCAAGGAAGTCTGTGTGCTTCAAGGTATAAACCAACCACTAATCACTGTTAGAGGATTAGAAAAAAACTTCTGTAATGAGCAGGTAATTACATAATTGCTCACAGTGGAGTTTCATAGCCTTCTCTTAGCATTCAGCAGTGGCCACTCGAAATTTGTTTTAGTGGATCTAGCTTAGTCTTGAGTTGGAGTGATAGTTTCTATGTCTGTAAGCTTGGATCTGCTACAATCCCCAAGTGAAAAAATGTGAAATTGTCAATCAAAATTGCTATATTTAATAGTCTGCTCCCTCTCAATATGAATAGTAAAGGAATGTTGACTTTTCTTTAAGTATTTCCTTCTTTAAAGAAATTAGACGTGTTTGAGGGCATATGTTTTCTATTATTTTTATTAATGCACTTTTGTTTTAAGACAAGTCAAACATTTTTTGAAGAGGAGTAGCACAAATACGTTTTTTTCACTTTAATATGACTGTTACATTTGAGCCTTGAGGATGATCAATGTCAGGAATTCATTGAGTTAATAAACTGTAGGCTCTGAAGGAGTAAGTCTCCATAATCCTGAACAGAGTTTTTTGCATCTTTTTGAACAGCCTTTTTTGTTGATGTGGCTTTTTCTTTTCTTCTTCTACAGAGGGCTTTATGCTGATATGGGCTTTTCCACCACTTCCCTCCCCCTTCAAATGATCTAATAAAATTAGACTTCCAAGTTACTGTTTTGCCAAGTTTACTACAGTTTTTACTTTGTAAGAGTCAACTGAAATCCTTATTTATCTTTGGCTCCTTTGCTCCCTGGCCAGGGGCTGTTGCTATGGAGATTGGAGGGTGGCCAGCACAGCTTCAAAGTACCAGATGCAGCACAGGATTTTTTCAACATAAAATTAATGCTTAGAGCACTGGAAACTCCCATAGGAGATCTGCAATAGTCTATAGGTATTGTATATCTTGTATTAATGGACTTGTAGCAAACAATCAATTTATCCCCAGTATGTTGAAGGTTTTTCTACTCTGTCTTGAAACTCATAGTATAAAGATGACAGAGATAATCTTATTGTATACAAAAGGTTTGAGAAGTGAAGTTACATTGAGTGTGCAAGCTGAAGTTTTGAGCCTACATCAGAAGTCACCACTTTTTGTGGATCCTAAACATCTGCAGGATCAGTGGTATAGTGCTTATAAGTGATTTGTCTTTTCTATTGCTGATCTCAAAGATAAAGATCCTGGCCAGTATTTACCAACATGAAAAATTCTTGGTTTTGCGTATGACCCTTGTGTAATCAAGAATGAACAAAAGTCATGGAAATTTGGAGTCTGTGGGGGCCACCTGCTTACTTGAATCATCCCTCAGCTCTATGCTAAGGTTCTTTAAATAGTAAAACTGAAAAAGACTTCAGTAGAGGCAGCCCTGTTGTGTGTTTTCATCTTCTTTGTTAGTACAGGCATATTTTAAATTGTATGTCAGTAAAATCTAGGAACTGATCTGGTTCAATGGAAACTTAACGTGGAAGAGCAAGTATCACTCGGTTTAGTTTTGTGCATTAGCAGTTCTGCAACTACAAGGGATCAGAACAGCTGAGTTTCATGGTCAGATCATGAATAATCTGGTTGCCCTCCTAGGAAAAAGCATAACTTGTCATCCCTGCTTTTTGTTGTGGTGTTCAGTCCTGCTTTATTACCTGATAACTGTCTTTCCTGTACGTAACCCTCTTGTTTCTTCTCATAACTATTTGCAAAAGTATGTGGTTTCCCCATTAGTGCCACACCTCATTCCTATGTCCTCTTTAATCAATCAAGCTATGGAGGAGGAAGCCTTCCCAAGCTCTTTTCTCTACCATGTGCATACTATAATAACCCCATTTCTTCTGACAAATAAGCACTGCTCAGTTACTTTGCTGCCTCCTGCAAACTCTACATGTACACAAAAAAATGTTTCCAGCTTACTCCATCATTGCCTCCAGAAAGAGTAATAGTCCAGAAGCTATTAAACTTTTTAGTTGTTTGTGTGCTGATTTAATTGGAAAAGTTGAAAGACAATTCCTCTTCTTTGTTGCTGAGGGTTACACTTGCCTCCAGGCATAAACATGCATTGGCTCTGGAAACTCATTAATCTTTTGGATTTTTAGAACTGTAGAAGTCTCTGTCTCAATTTGTAGTGAGAGACTTCAGTCTATGTGAAAGAAAACAGCTTAGGAGTCTTTCTGGTGGAAATTCTTGTTATCAGATGAAGACCCAGCAGCTCTACCTTATTTTGGGAGTTAGACAAACTCCTGTAGGCAGATCTTGCATCTTCACTTGGCCTCATTCAGACTAAATTAAAATGTTTTCTCTGGAATCTGCAATGGGGCCATTTATATTGAAGTTCAGTTTTTTTCATAGAAGTTGGTCTTAATTGCATTGAATTTAAGCAGAATATCAGCAGAATATTCTGTCAGTGTGCAGTGAAGTCTTGAAGTGAGAAGGATGCTACTAAGTTACTTACTTATATTGTTTTTGTTATTAATTTTCAGTGGATATGACTTTGGCTATCTAATCAAGATCCTGACCAACTCCAATTTACCTGAGGAAGAGCTGGACTTTTTTGAGATACTGCGATTGTTTTTCCCTGTCATCTATGATGTAAAATATCTCATGAAGAGTTGCAAAAATCTGAAGGTAAGTAGTCTGTTAATGGTTTGGAACAAATTTTGCATTTGGAGACAGATCATGTTTAAAAATACTTTCTCTATTTTTATTGTCTACTTTTGCTCTTATGGTGCATATTAAGCATTGTTGTCTCAAGCTTTACATATCTAATATTAAAGACATTGTTAGAAGCCAACAAGAGCACAAGTCAATTTTTATAACTGCTTACCAGTTAAAAATATCATGGTGAAACTGTATTTACAGTACTTGGTTGATAGATGATAAACTCGTGTTTGGAATTAATACTTCATTTCCTTAGGGATAAGAATTGATGTGTCATTGTGCAGTCTGCTAAAGAGCTGCAGTCATCTAGGCAGAGGTAATTTCAAGAAGATGATGTGGAAGTGTCTTGGGAAGAGAAATGAAGAATGTTTCAGATGGCCCCATAAGCAAAGATAAACAACAACATACGTTCAGGGACAATGTGACTTCTAGGAAAAAAAATTAACTAGAAACTAATCTCATGTCAGGCCAGCAGGGCTAATTGCCTTACTCTATCAGGCATAATATTTGGATACCTTATTGGACTGGAGAATGAGTGGGAACTGGAGCTAAGTGTGTGAAAGGGAAGACAGCAAGTGAAAGAAAGATTAACTAAAGGCACTGTTAACAGCTTTACTTGCCAAAGAGCTGTTAAGAGTCTGGACTACTGCTGGAGTGGGCTGCATCACTCTTCTGAGGCAATTGATGATTTGTTGCTTTTATGGAAAGTAATTTAATTCTCTAGGATTTCTTAATGAAAAACTGCAGGAAGAAGAGAATACATCAAATCCTAACTATGGAATGCTTGCCAGTTCATTGTGCTGAACTACTGATCTGTGTGCTGTTTATAGTCTTCTGTTTCTTTCTGAGATGAACTAGCAGAGTATGTCACTTTGAGCAGTAGTGTAGTTTTGTGGAAAGTAAATTGTGTGAATCCTTTGTTAATCAAATTAATGTTGAAAATTTAGATCACCCAGTTCGTAAGAAAAATATACTTACCTGTGTTCATATACAATTGTTACTGGTATATCGTCTGGGCAAATGGCTGTGTATTAGGGAACATTTTAGAAACACTTCTTCTCCAAAGAGACCAGGAGTAAAAAATTTAAATGCTTCTAAATTTCAAGAGTCTTAAGTTAGGGGTGAGGGGAACCCGCCCTAAAAAGTCCTCACTTTTGCACTCCCAGTGAAGCAAAGTAGAGCATCTGGTGCCTATCTGGTGACACACTTTGCAAGAACAGAATGTATATTCCAAATTTAGTGACATAGAAAAGGTGACAAATTGATGTTCCATGTCAGTATTCAGAGGTGACATTCCCAGTGGGCTTGGGAAAGAGGATATTGTAGTTTCTGGCATTATTAAGGCATAGTTGTGTGTAACCTGCATTGTTTAGAGACACTAAGATTTTTTTGGAAGACAAGAAAAACTTTCACAGGTCTTGTTTTGGCAAAGCATAAGAACAAGGGTGATTTTTTTTTTTTTTTCAGAGCTGAGTATGTAGGTCAGCTTTTCTGCAGACTGATAGTGACAGCAGGGGAAGGGAAATGGACTATCTTATCCCTCCAAATTTACCAGTGGTGAAATGATGGTGGACTTGAACTGTACTGAGAGAAGCTGCCTGAAGCAAATTACTAAACATTTAGTGTTGTACCTCTAAAAATGCATGTGCTGTCTCCTAATATGTGTCACCTTTGATCTTCATTAAATTGCAGTGAATTGAACAGCTGTGCAGTTGTCTTTTATTGACTTGTCTAAGTTATTTTTTTATACGATAGTCACTGATCTGCTGTAGGTCCCCCACTCTCTGCCCCCACACACTCAAAAAAGATTCTTGGCATTGGAAAGAGAAATAGGCTTCAGAACTGGAAATCTGATGCCTTTTTTTGGTGGAATTAAGTACTCTGAATTTGCAGTCTGTTATTATGACTCTACTGGCCTGCAGATTGAGAGTTGACTTGAGATATTAATGTGTTATAGGTTAAACTCTTGCTTACAGTCTAAAAGGCTTATTTATGTAGACCTAGTTGGAAACTTGCTTTTATTTCAGGGTTTTATACAGAACAATAAGCTCTGTGACTGTGTCGTGAAATGCACATTTGAAGTAGATTTGCTGTTGACCATGGTGGTGTGATTATGTAAATTATTCTGTGGCCTTTTTCATGGAAGGTTGATACTCTGAAAATTTGGGAAGAATTTGTCCTTCTCCAAGAGTGAAGCATGCCTATCTGGAGTGCAAAATTCTTACCTGAAAGAGGATCTCATTAGTCTAATAATTTTCTGCTCTGGTTCCATCCAGGACAGGGTGAATTTTTGCTCCCGGAATGGGGCATGGAGGTTATTCGGTGACACCTTTCATCATTTTCTGGGCATGAGGGAAGGGCTTGCTTCCCAGGTCACAGTAGTGTGGTGGAGGGAGCAGTCAGGTGTTTCTGTTGGTGAGCAATAATGTTTCTCTTGCATACTCTATCATTAGTATTGTTGCTATTTTTGTTGGATTTCTTATCTCACTGCTGTTTCCCAGTAAATAGCTCATATCTCAACCTGTGTTCTTCACTTTTTGTGCCTCCAGTTCTCCTCTCCAGTCTGGCACAGGAGAGGGCAGGGAGAGGGGTGAGGAGCGAGTGTAGTTTGGAGTGGTTTTAGTGGAAGCAGTCACTTGGAGAATACATTCCTAAACCATGACAGCCTTACTTGGCACCCAGTGTGGGGCATGAATGATTGAGATCTGATCAGAATGGATTGGAAACAAATTTCATCTAAGCATTTGTCCTATTAGATTATTAGATCATTAGATTCGGAGCCAATGGTCACAATGTTGCTTGGTCTATTTGTGTGAGTGTGGTACCTCAGCCTGTATATGTTTCTATAGATGTACTATGTGCCCATGAGGGTGCTCTTTTTCTGATTAGGAATTCTTTGTTGATGTATGTTGATTGTATGAACTCGAGTCATGTTTATGACATGATAACATCAAGGGCAGTGAGGATCATTTGGGATATTGGGTGTATTCAGTGCTACTCTCCTACCCTTACCTTGGGTACTACCTCTGGCAGTCCATTGCTAATCATACCTAGTCTGTGTGGAGAACAGGGGAGGATAGATTTCCCCAGCTTTTCACTACCTTTTTCTCCTTTGGGCCTGTTAGAATAGCTTTTGAGAATTTTTTGTTTCCTTTTGATGTTAAGGGAAACATATTCTTGCTGCTATGTCGAAACTACACCATGTTTCGAGTCAGTACAGTCAACACTGTGTCTAGAATCAGGACAGAGATTTCTGGGAAGGTTAATCAGAGATCTGTCTGGGATGATAGTCATGAATAGTATGGAATGTGGGATAAAATGGGCCATTTTTTGAGAAAAATGTATCCTCCAATGTTTTGCTAGTATAACTACAGGACCTTGATAAGGTGACAGAATATTTGCAAGAATAATGCTGTGGCAACTCTATAAAGAATCAATTTACTGAAGCGTGCTGGGCCCTGGCTACTCTGGACACAGTCCAGTGCTAGACAGAACCCTTAGGGGAAGAGGAAGAAAGCAGATCAACAGGTGCTGTGACTACTCAAATTACAGCCAAACTGGAAGACTAACTCATGCCAGTAACAGTCACACCTACACAGAAGATGAAATCCAGGACCAAATCAGTTTACACAGTGAGGGATAAAGAGGAAGTAGAGCTCTCACAAAAGGAGGAGGCAGGACCAGAGATAATCACGCAATTCCTATCCCTGGGTGAGCTAAGTGGAAGGATTTCAGCCACCAGTCATGAAAGCCCTGGATGAGCTGGCTGCTCTGATGCTGGAATATCATGGCCCACAATATGAAATTAGATGGTAGTGAAACCAAGCAACTGGTATCCCTATCCTGGTGGGGATTTGGGAAGAAGACAGAAACTCTTAGCCTCTGGCGGTGATTCCTGTCAAGTGTGAGAGAAAGGTATTCTCTCATGGATGATCTAGTGGTGTGCCCAAGCAGATGCAAGGCCTTAGAGAAAGATGTCCAGTGCCTGGGAGAATTAGTTGTGCTGGAGGTGATCTGTAAGGATTCAAATAACAAGAAGTCCCCCGTAGATCCAGATAAGGTCCATTGTACACAATCCATATGGCAGAAATTTTTATGGAGTTGTCATTCACCAACTCCTTGGTGTTGATGTCAATGGAAGAATGAGAGAAAAACAGTCCTTCAAGGTGACAGATTCCAGTAATAGATCTCTCTTTTCCTCCTTACCAACCTGCTCCTTGGCTGTGGAAAGACTGTCCAAGACTCCAGACAGATTTAAAAGACTCAAGAAAACTAGAGAGATGTCCCATGCCCTACCAGTATGGACCAGAGTCTTTGCTATCGAGATATATGGCGGCTCTGTGTATCCTTGGCATAGATTACTGCAGAACACAAAAGGGCATTGTTGGGCTTTTGGGATAGCTACTGTGGAGACAGAGGAAATTAGACAGCTGAATATAACTTGCCTTGTTTTTCAGAGGACCCTTCTGCTTTGGGGCTGCTGAGGGTCAAAGAACAACCAATCTCTGCCACAGCAGTGCGCTGTCGATAAAACTGCACTGAACGGGTACTCCATGACCTCCATCTGTGAGATGATTTGTGAACTAGAGAGCCAGGGAGTCAGCAAGACCTGCTCACCCTTTAATAATCCTATATGGCCTAGTGACAGTGGATTTTCATGGCCTGAATGAAGTCACACCACCACTATGTGTCACTATGCAGATATGCTAGAACTGGCATAGTCAAAGGCAGCAAAGTGGTACCACCACTGATACTGTTAATGCATTTTTTTTCCCATTTCTCTGGCAGCAGAGTGCAGGCCACAGTTTGCCTTCACCTGGAGGGAGCACCCAGTACACCTGGGACCGACTGTCTCAGGAGAGGAAACAAAGCCCCATCATTTGCCATGGACCGATCCAGACTGCAGGGGAAAAGGGCGAGGCTCCAGAAGACTTGCAGCACATAGATGATGTTGTATGGGGGAACATGGCAGAGGAAGTTTTTGAGAAAGGGGAGAAAATAATCCAGATCATCTTGAAGGCTGCCATAAAGCAAAGTCAGGTCAAGGGAACCGCCCAGGATATTCAGCTTTCAGGAGGAACATGGCAAGATGGATGTTGTTAGATTCCAGTTGATGTGGTCAGTGGCATAGCATCTAGATCCCCACCAACCAGCAAGAAAGGAGCACAGGCTTTCCTGGGTGCTGTGGAGTTTTGGAGGATGTATATCTCAGATTACAATGAAATTATAAGTCCTCAATATCAAGTGGCCCAGGTGAAGAATGATTTGCAGTGGGGTCCTGAACAAAAGCAAGCTTTTGAACAAATCAAATGGGAGATGGTTCATCCAGTAGCACTTGGGCCAGTCTGGTGGCAAGATGTGAAGTATGTGCTCTACATGGCTGCTGGGGAGAATGGCCTTCTTGGAGCCTCTGTCAGAGGGTACCTGGAGAGACTTGAGGCTGACCTCTGGGTTCTGGAGTTGAGGGTACAAAGGATCTGAAGCCTACTATGCCCCAGTTGAAGCAGAGATCCTGGTATTTATGGAGGGGGTTTGAGCTCCCTCAGAAGAGATTGGCACCCAAGCACAGCTCCTTTTGGCACCCCAGCTACCAGTGCTGGTCTGGGTGCTTGAAGGGAAAGTGCCTTCCACACATCATGCCAGTGATGTCGTGTGCAGTAAGTGGACTGTGCTGATTTCAAAAATAGCCTCATACACACCTGGGCCAAAGAGCACAGTATGAAGTGGGTGTATCATATTCCCTATTGTGCACCAGCCTCTGGGAAAATTAGACAGTACAATTGACTGTTAAAAACATGGCAAGGAATTGGTGGTGGAACTTTCTAACAGTGGGTTCCACATTAAGCAGAAGCAATCTGCTTAGTTAACACCTGAGCTGGTCTTGTCCAATAAAAACCTCCACATAGCATAGAAGGGGATAAATCCCATTGTGCATATGAGCAACATGTTAGGGAGAACAGTTTGGATTAGTCCTGCCTCAAGCAAAGGCAGACCCATTTGAGATTGTTTTTACTCAAGGACCTGGGTACCTGGAATGTACCCAGGGTACATTCCCCACAGAGAGATGGGGAGATATGATGATGTGTACTTCAAGGGGATTGGCTGTTTGGGTAAGAACAGTTTGTAATGTTGAATTGTACAATACTGGTTGCTGGATGCCATAACTGCTGTGGCCAGTGAGTATGGAGTGGTCCACGTATATCACTCATGATCTCCTAATGCAGCTTGCAACGAGCTGACAGCACACCAGCCCTCCTGCCCTGGAAGACATCTAGGATAAATAAAACCCACAGTAATGAACTAAATTAACAGACATCTCAGAGGGAAGGCCATTGACTGTTGAAATTATACCTGTACTTGTGTGTGTGAATATATGTATATATAGTTGGATGTTACAAGATTTGGACATGACATAGCATAGAATAAGAAATGGATAATGTCCTGGTTCCAGCCAGGAGATGGTGAATTTTTTTCATTAGCCAGGATGAGTTATGGAGGTTATTAACATGGAGGTTATTCTGTGACACCTCACATCATTTTCTGGGCGTGGGGGAAGGGCTCACTTCTGCATCAGTGTAGTGTGATGGAGGCAGTGATCAGGTATTGTTAGGTGTTTTTCTGCTGCTCAAGACAGACTGAAACTAGCAATAGCAGTACTAGGTTTTCTTGTTAGTTTGTGGGTGTTACTTGGGAATGTTATTATTGAAGCTTTCATCTTTTTAAACAAAAACCGGGACCCAAACATGTTGCTGTAAGATTAACAGGAATTTTCATAATGTTTGATCTGATTTTCAGTTTGGACTCCTTTGTAGCTCCATGAGTTTTAATTTTGACTGTTATGCTTCTGCCTCTTATTGCCTTAGCTCCTGTATGTGAAAGAATTTAAGATTGCACGGGAAGGTGAACTCTAGGCATTCTTTATTTAGAAGCATTGCCTCTGTGCAACATTTTTACCTTTCGATGCTTATTGCAGCACTAAAGGTTGTCTTTTTTTTTCTTTTTAATCTTTCTAGATCTTTAAGAATGTGCATGTGCCTTAGTCTTGCCAGAGCTTTATAGCTTACTGAATTAATAAAAGTCTTTGTACAATCATGTGCTCACAGCATTAAAAGATTCTGGTTACAGTAGTACATGTCTGTCCTTCAGCTGATCAGTGTTATCTATGTAAAACCAAACCAAATTTTGACAACTTTGCTCTCACACGTAGAAGCTATTACTGTTTTGGAGAGGACACTAAAATGTTGTTTATTTAGTCACTTTGCAGTTAAGGAGATAATTTTTCACGTAAGTTTATTGAGAAGAAAATTTCATTCAAAACTGGAGAAGTTTTACCTTTTAGAGAAGATAGATTTGCAGCTTTGGTGTGTTCTCTACAGCCTTATAGTCTGTCCTTTTAAAGCACTGTATCAATAGTCATCTTGAAGGAATTGTTAAGTAATGACATCTGGTTACTGGAGAAGCTGGAACATAAGGTGTATTAGTCTTGTTGGTTGCAGTACTACTTTATTTAGTACTGACAGAGAATATTAATCCTGTTTGATACAGAAAGTTTGATTCTCCTGGTATCCATTTATCTAGTATAATGATTGTTTCAGCTACTGTGCAGATATTAAAATATTCCTGAGGTTGTATGGCCTGTGTAACAGATTTTCCCAAATATACCTACTCCATGTTCTAATTTAACTTCTCAGCATTTAACAAAAATGTTTTGTTTTTTCAGGGTGGGTTACAAGAAGTGGCTGAGCAGTTAGAGCTGGAAAGGATAGGTCCACAGCACCAGGCAGGGTCTGATTCTCTACTCACAGGAATGGCCTTTTTCAAAATGAGAGAAGTAAGTGGACATACTGTTTGATTTCCATAATAATGCACTGTGATAGTCACATGGAATTGCTGATTCTGATAAGTCTGTGGTATTTTAACGAGGTGTCTGAAGGGCTTCAGGGGTCAATCCTTTCTTTACAAAAATGAGACCACCTGTATTTTTCCCCAGGTAAGTGTGAACCAGCCTTACTGACTCCTTGCTTTGCTGCTGTGAGTGAATATTTCTTCCCAATTCCAGCCTAGGCCTACTTCTGGATTTTTTTGTGAAGTTTTGTTTTGGGGTTTTTTTTCTTCACCTGTGTTGCAGGGGGCCTTTTTTTAGGTGACTGCTGCAGTGATTTATGAACTGCTTAAGGCAGACTCCTTTCTGGGTGACTGTACTCAAGTCAAATTGTTTTTTTAGAACTTTTGCTCAGTGTAATATCCAGCTGGTGTGTACTGCTGCTGGTGGCAGGCTGAGAGGTGGGGAAGGAGTGTTGCTGAACCACTTCTAGCTAAACTTTCAGGCTAGAGGTGTGTTAAATAATGCCTTCCAGGCTGCTTTGGAGAATTTCCATGCATTTCTTTTTCCTTGCCATTGAGCAAAGCACAGTCTAAGGTTCTGAAGGTCAGTTAATTCAAGGTTTACAGCAAGGACAGTCAGGCCTTACAGGCTTCACATTTCCTTGCTACTTGTCTGCATGTAACAGGAAAATACTAGGATATTTTGTATTAGCAGAACAATCAAATGTTGAACAGGCCCCTTCTGGAAAGCAGTTGCACTGAACAAATGCCAGTGCATCAGAATATGGCATTCTTCCAGCAATTCAATGTAATTTACTGTGTCAAAACAGATGGCAATATCAAACCTCATCATTTAATCATGTTAAGTACTATATGCTGAAGTCTACCTTCTGGAATCCAGCCTTCTTGAATGAAGGAGAAAATGACCACGAGATTGTGACAAGTATTAGTGACACAGCAGCTGAAAGAGTGATGGCTTAAGCTGGTTTGCTCATCCTAGCACACTGTTCTGCTTCTGCTGGAAATGTTGTAGTTGTCAAGCGGGTCATGGGTTAGAGATGCAATAAAAAGGATTTTGTTTCTGGTATGATCCAAGGCCAGTGCAACTACCTGCTGTCTTCCTGGTATTGTGGAACTTCCACTCTTGAATTTGAAGATCCAAAGAAAATGAAGGGAAGCATATAATAATCATGCTTAAGATGCAGCCTTTCAAGTGAGTTTTCTAGAGTAAAGTTCCCAAACCCATTATAGTTTCTTTAATGAGATGCAGTTTGTGTTAGATGGCAAACTAGCTGGTTGAATTTATTTACTAAAAGCTTTTACCAGAAGTAGAAATCTCTGAGGGTTTTTTAGTGCAACACACTTGCTTAAGCCAATAGACATAGACTGATAATGAATTTTTTCCCCAGTACTTAAATACTCTTTGCAAATACAGCATTTCTGAATAAGAACATAGTATTAAACAGAGAAAAATGCATTTAATGTAGATTTTTAAAGCTTTTCATCAGAGTTCAGTGTTTAAAAATGTATTTCTGAGTAAAAACACTTCATAGTGCTTTTTAAGACACAGAATTTTGTTACTAATTGCTGTGAAAGAGATGCAACTTGCTTGCAGGGGGAAGTTTTGACCTGTGTGATATACACAGGTCTCCGTGTTTAGATTGTGTATTGCATCTATTCTGTTCCTGCATACTTCTGCCTATTTTAGATTTCTGATATTGATGATGACTCAGAATGTGAACCACTGGGGTGTCCAGGATTGCTGTGAAGGTTTTAGGGTGAAAAATGTTAATGTATGTGTGTCTTCTTATTTTTGCAAGATAATTTGTGATTTTCTGCTTGAAAACCCATCTAAAAGGCAGAGTATTAGAATATCATGGGCTATATTTTCTCGTCCACTAAAAGGTTCCACTTGCAATTTAGACTTGTAATATGTAAATGCAATCTTGGTACAAAATTTTGCTGTTCCTCATTAAATGAAGTCCCTCTCTGTGAGGAGCTGAAAATGCATCTTCCTGCATTTCTCTAAACTCTGGTTTTGTGCTCATACTTCCCACCCCCAAACCTATATAATATAAATCAGGACATCTCTATTCCAAGATAGAGTATGGTGAAAACTCCACACTGAGGAGAGGTAAGGGAATGGGCACTGATGATGGATGCTAAGCATATGCCTGTTGTAAGAAGCACCACAGAAATCAGATGGAGAAATCTCTTTGTTGTTCACGCAGATATGTGAGTGATGACTAATAACACAAAATTATGAAAACATTGCATTTGGCCATTTAATTGGGAGAGGTGCACAGGAAGACTGATTGTATGTTTTGACAGATTTAAATAGTTGTGTCATATAGCACATTGTGATAATGTGTTGAGATTAAGGGTCTTATTATACCAATTATATCATCTTTTGCACCTTGGGATTTAATATCTTATTTAAAAAGGAAGTAATTTTAAAGCCTATTTACAGTTCTATTGAAACTGAACCTTTTCTTTTGCAGTAATTCATGTCTCTTCACTTTTTAGATGTTCTTTGAAGATCACATTGACGATGCCAAATATTGTGGCCACTTATATGGTCTTGGTTCGGGGTCATCTTATGTACAGAATGGCACAGGAAATGCTTATGAAGAAGAAGCCAACAAACAGTCATGACATGAAATGAAAGGCCGTCTTTTTGACATGCTTGTACATAGGTTTTATCTCTGGTTGAACCCCTTGGACAATTAAGGCTTTTCCCCCCCTTTCTCAGCACACTATCTTTTCTGCCTTTCTATGTACTAAACTTGACTATTCGTATCACAGATTTTGATCTTAATATTGATACGTAAAATTTTCTGGGTTACATTTTGGCCTCTTAACAAGCCCATTTGTAAAGAAGCATGTATAGGATCAGTGTGGCAGAGAGAAGGGGAAAGTTGAATCATAATGAATATTCTGGTAAACTTGCCTACATCATTCTTCCAGTTTTTTGTCTTTCCCCACCCTTCTCTAAATTAATTGGCTTTGATTATAACTAACTTCCCCCTTCACATCTATTCTTTCCAGTAAGTATGCAGGCGTTTTAGCTATTCAAGATTGTGGACCATCAGATTTGCACTTTAGAGAGCGATTCTGACTCAGATCCTCTGTTTTATTTGAAGTTTGTTTTGGTTTTTTCTCTTGCCCTCAGCTAGAAAACAATCATCTGCCAAGTTCAGCAGCTTCAAGCTGTATTTTCTTGGTATCTCAACCCACACAACGGGACTTATTTGCTGCATAATCTATGTTTGTTCAAGCAAAACAAACTACTGAAATCATAGTAATTGCTCTTACTTTACTAGTGTTTGGTCATCTTCCAACACATCCTGCACATGTCAACTACTGGTTGGCCTGCTGCTTTAAAACTGCTCTGTGATGGGGGAAAGAGGCTTGAAAAAACAGCTTTACACCCTTCAGGAGAAGGAACAGCTATGACTTTAGCCTTTTTGCCATTAAGCTGAGAGTTGAAGGATAATGGAAAAGTAGGAGTCTTGTAATGGCACATTTCCCGTGATTAACCTCGTGGCTTTTATCCTAGTAATGTACACCTCAGATATTTTTTATGAAGTCATATTTATTATGTACTTGATTTCATGAATTTTGTAAGTCAGTTTAGTTGAAGATGAACCCCAAAGATCTGAAAAATACTATTTAATTGAATTACTGAATTAGAACGACAATTAAATCATGCCTTTTTGTAGTTGTTACAGATGTTACAGATATTTGTTGTAAGACAACAAAATATAAATAACTTCCAGCTAATAAAGTTACCTGAGGAGTGTAATGCTAGTTTATTTTTGAGTATATCTTACAGTATATTTTAGATATATTGTTTTCAAGGACCCTAAGGTATGATCTTAACTCTGCATAGCATGTATACAGAGCAGTTGTGCAGGAAGGATTTTTGGTATTGAATAGCTAAATACTAGCCTGGAATGATGGAATGTGTGACATTGTGTGTCTGTGCGTGTATGCGCGTACGTGTGTTTGACACAGAAATCAATGGCAGAAAAATCTCCAGATGTTCACCAATTACCCTGTTTTATCTTGTACTTAAAAGCAAAAAAATCAAAACACCTTTTTCTCATTTAATTATGATGATGTAACTGGGCGGTCCTTTTTAAACAAGTAATTTGCATAACAGAGGGTATTTGTTTTTAAAGCTTTTGTAAATAAAGGCCTAAGAAATGTTTTCTTACATAACAACAGACTGGTGGTTTTGTTGCAAAATTTTTCCTGGAATGCAATTATTTAGTCAGTTCAGATCTGTTTTGTTAGGCATGATAGTTCTTTTCTACACACTGATATAGAGTGATCTAACTTGCTACTCACTGACTGATTTTACATTCAGAGCAGAATTTGGGTTCATGGGTTTCCAGTCATTTAATTCCTACTGTCCTGAGTTGGAAGAGGGATGATTGCAATTTACTTCTGAGGCATCCTAATCCCATTGGAACTTTCATACCATTATGTATTACACGATGGTGACTTGTTTTAACTTCAGTTGTCTTTGGCTTTAAGATTGTGAAAGTGAAAGCAGGATGAATTTTTACTGTGGCCTCCAGGGTTTGCACAGACATGGAATGAAGAGCCCCTGAAGTTTGATGCATTTGCTTTAAAGCAGTAGCTTTGCCTAAAGCATATGGATACAGCTATCTGGTTAACTTGAGCAGAATGACTCTTCGAAGGACTTTAATGGGTTTTTGTTTTGAAGTAGGTTTTTAATCGACGATCAGAGTTTTAGAGTCTTCTGAACGTGTGCCTATAGTAAAAGTTCTAGTGCCGTGGGGATTTGCTTTTGAAGTGACTGCTGAGCATCCCACGTGCTGTGCTTTTCTTTGCTTCCTGTCATAGAATCATGGAATGGTTTGGGTTGAAAGGAACCTTAAAGATAATCTAGTTCCAACCCTCCTGCCATGGAGAGGGACACCTTCCGCTAGACCAGTATTTGACTTCAAATAATTCTACTCTTCAGTTTTCTTCCAGCAACAAAAGCATTTCTCAAAAGTCACTGGTCAGCATGAAAACAGATTATGCTTTATTCTGTGAGAGAAGCCCTGGTCTGATCACTGTGATCTGTCTGCTGAGAGTTGATTGCAGCTGGGGAGACATCTGTGCATCATCCATTTCCTTGGCAAAATTAGATTTAGTTTCCATTAAGGAGTGATTTAACTTGTGAATTGTAGAGATTATGAAAAAAGCAATTTCTTACATGTAGGACCATTATGTGTAAACTTCAGAGCCTGAAATCTGTCTCCAAAGTGGCCAGCTTTAATTGCTTTTGCTAAAATTAATGTGCAGGCATAGTTCCAGCTGTCTAGACATGCACCTTTTTGTTCAGAGACAAAAAATCCTCTTTCCAGGCCTCTGCTTTTCCCAATCTATTTAAAATACACTGTTGTTGAGTAGGTTTGTCAGGAGAAATGCAGTATCACAACCTGTTATATTTGATCTTTCTATTTTTAATCCCCTTGTATTTTTGGCTTCTGGAGTCAGATGAGTGTTCCAGGAACCTTATGTTCTCTGTCACTATTTTTTTTTTTTAATATATATATAATTTTTATTTTAAGCATTTAGTTCCTTTGCTCATTAAAACTAGGCAAGAAGCATCCTTGAAGTGGAGGAATATAGGTCTGGAACACATTCAGAGTATTTAAGGCTTTTTCCCACATGAATTTGCTGATGACCTATAAACTCTGACATCCAAGAAATTTCTCTTAACTTATCTGACTGGTTACTCCATGCTCAAGAATGTTTCATTCCCTTACTCTGAAAATCCAAGAAAAATACCAGGAAGCCTGCATTCATGAGCAAGGTGCTTCTGATTCAACTCAAAACATGCAAAGGTGGAAGCAGAATATTGTTGTCTGGAATAAGGAAGATTTATCCTTGGTGGAGGAATATCAGATTAGGAATGTAAAAACAAACTGGACATAAAGAAGTTCTGTTTTAAATTCCCAAGTGGTTTTTCAACCTTGAATTAACTAATAACTCACTTAAACAATATGCACTGAAAGAAAACACTCCAATCCTGAAGCAGTTTTTAGAACTTCACTGGAAGTTTAATAATCACATGTCAATTGATTTAGCGTGGTGTGGGTTCATTGCAGTTTATTAACCTGTAAAATAATTAAGTGAAATTTCAAATAAAACAAGACTTATCAAGATCTTTATTTTATTCCACCATGTCAGTTATGGCAAAGAAAGCTGAAAGCCTCCAGTAGAATTGTGGGTATTTGCCTAACTACTTTAAATTGTTGACTTTGAACAAAATCTCACAAAGACTAAATCCCAATTTTTACATAGAGTAAAATCAGTTATATCTGTTTACTTTTCTGTTCTTACCATGAAGTTATTTTCTTGGTATTTCTTATGTTTAGTGAAAATAAAATAAAGTAAAATAAAACAATCTGCCATGAACCTTGACTGGTTCATGGCAGATTGTTTTATTTCCCTCTTCCATGAGGGTACATATTTGGTGTTTATTTCCCTCTTGCACACAGGTAGTGAAATGAGGATGATTCTCCTGCATTATTTTAGCAGTCTTGGGTTGGGAATAAATCTGCACATTCATGCCAACTGTGATTTCTGCAGAGGCTGGTGTTGTTCTTCTGGCAGCACAGATGATATACTACTTCCTGCCTCTGTTGGACAATTGTCTTGCCCAAGAGTGCTCTTTCACGTGAGAAGGACACTTGCCTCAGTTAACTGTGTTGGATGTGAGGAAGAGCTGGAGAAAAGGGAAGTCTTTTGCCTTCTCTCTGTACCAGGTGGTACAGAGAGAAGGCAAAAGGTTGGCAGCAGATGAACTTTTTAAACTGCATTACAAAAAACGTGCTTTCTTTTTTGTAGGACAGTGAATCAGAGCTGAGGTGACATTGGCAATACCCTTTCTATACTTCTCATTATATAATAAATGAGCTTGGCAAGCTCCCTGTTTCCTTCATTCTTGTCCCTCTGCATGCTCTGGGGAATAGTTGTAGTATCTATGATAGTGTTTTATATGAAGCTGCTGATTTTTACTATTATATCTATTTGAAATAGCAGCCCATTAAATCTCTTGATGTGATGGAGAAAATAACTGGAAACAACTTCCTGTTGTTCAGGCTGTAACTGTGTGTGTGTTGTCTATTTTTGCCTTTATAACAGGAGCTCTTTCTGAAGTGAACTAAGAAATAATCTATTTTCAGATCTAAAAAAAAAAAAAGGAAAGTGACTTCATGAAGTGATGACTGTCAGGAAGTGTTGGGCCTGTTCCAGTTATGCCAATCAGTTAAACTGTGAGCATGCAGAGGGGGAGAGGGGAGATGGCTCATGGCACATCTTCCAACTGCTGCACTCAAACTATTGGGACCATCTGCTTGAGATTACAGTGATGTAGGATGAAGGATGTGATCAAATGCCTCAAATAATGGATTTTGGAGTTACTGAGTTACTGTATTTCAGTGATAAGTGACAACTTGGAGAAATGAAGGAATTACCTATTTAGAATCAACTTTGGGAGGGAGAATAATAAAGAACCTAAGTAGCAATTGTACATTTCACATTTAACACTTTCAATCTGGACTGCTACGAAAGAGAAGAGAGAAAGAAAGATGATACAAAATTTAAAGAAGGAACAATTGAAAAACTGCTGAGGGAACATGGCAAGGTTATGTCAGGTGTCACTTGCTCAAAGCTTCATCCCAGAAGGCTGTTGCTTTTGCCATCCTACTACAAAGCCACTGATACACAGGTGATAGATGCAGGAGAAGTAGCAATAGAGACATCCCACCATCCCTACTGCATAGCAGCGCATTCTTTTTTTTTTTTTAATCTTGTTTTGGATGAGAATGTTTGTATGGTTCAATACCAGTATTTTTGGAAGGGTTTTAAAAACAGGATGAGCTTGGGCCATATACTGCACATTATGTCTGAACTGGTAGAGGTAAATCTACTTTCATCTTTACGTAACTGTTCCTGCAATTTTAGAGGTCCCTGAGCCAACAGTCTCACTCCACTCTGCACAGGAGGTGGATCCAGCACTTTCCTAAGGAAGACTGTTAGGAAAGGGAAAAGTCAGGCAGCGCTAAAGAATCCAGCCTGGTAGGGAGTGGAGAACCCTCATGAAGCAAAGCTGCTGTGGGTGATAATCCTGGTTAGTAGTCATCGTTCTTGTACCTTTTCACTTCTATAAAGTGTAAGGGGTTTAAGACACCCCCATCTCTCCCCCTTTTCTGGGGGATAAAACTCCACCTTTTTGACCAGCAGGTCAAAGGAGGGTAGGTCTGTCTCCTCTGACAGCATAAAGGCACAGAGTGTATCACCCATGAGAGATTATAAAAGAACTGGTTCCTTCTCAACCTCTTCCAGTGTCAGTGCATTGTGAGGTGAACCTTGGAGAAGGGAAACACACCTATAAAAATCCAAAACTCCTGGTGAAGGAGTGAGGGGAGGACATTTACAGCAACTATGTTATTAGTGAAGCCCTAGTAGAGATGATGGTCTGCTGTTCAGGTACATCATCAGTAAAACTGTTAGTAGTGTGTCAATGACTACTACATACATGGCATGCTGAACATGAAGCATTTATTTATGTAAGCAATACATTAACATATGGCAAAGTTATACACTAAATTTATGTAGAAATATATTTTCCCCCACCCCTTCACACATCAGTCAACCAAACCAGGGGAAGAACTCTCAGTTAATTAAAAAAATTAATTGAAGAAAACAGTTAGGAAGTGTTTCAGTAATTTTCTTTTGTGCACTCTTCAAATAGTAAGGAATCATTTAATAAAATAAAAAATACAGAGAATATTAACATACTTTTCCTTACGTATTTAGATGTTTCTTGTAAGGGAAATTAGGTTTCAGTCCAAATAATGATGAAAAACAGCTACAGCATTCCACGCACTGAAACAAACTTGTTTCCTTTCTGTAGTGTCCCTCACAAGAGATACTCAAGAGCCATCTGTATTTCATACTGTGCAATGTGCTCGAGGATGATCCTGCTTGAGCAGGGACCAGATAACCCCAGTGGTGGTCCCTTCCAACCTCTGCCACTCTCTGATTCTGTGTTTCATTCATTACTTGCCCAGTCTACTAAAGAGATTTCAGTCTGTAACCTAAACTGGACAGTGTTTTTTCTCTCCAGTTAAAGAATTAAAGTGCATAACAGCAGCTCTATCTTAACTGCTCACAAAGATTGTGTTCCATTTTCT